GAGCATAGACTGTGGCTAGACCCTGGCCCAGGGCTTGCATGCTGAGGTGGAGGGGAGGGGGGTTTAAACCCCTTCCCTGGCCTGCATGGGACCCCTGCTCTAGGGAGTTGGGGGACAGCCCCTGCTAGGCTTTTGCCCTTTCCCCACTCAAGTGGAGATTGGGGACAGGGTGTGGCTATGCCTTGGCCCCAGGCTGGCATTCTGTGGGAGTGGGAGAAAGGGGGTTTAAACTCCTTACCCTGCTTGCATGGGACCCCAGCCAGGTTTGCCTGGGCAAGGGAGAAGGGGGGAAAACCCTGGCATGGGGCTGCTCTTTCCTCTACTCGAGAGGGAAGTGGGGGGCAGAAGCCTGGCAGGGATGTCCCACTGGGGGAAGGGTTTTAAATTCCCTCTCCCCCTGGCATCAGCACGCTGGCCCCAGGCTGGGGCTTGGCCATGTCCCTTCTGCTTGAGCAGGGAGGGGGAAAAGCATTGGAGCTTCCTCCCCTCCTTTTGGCAGTGGCCGGCAGGCTGGGAGGCATGCTCTATCGCCTCCCAGGTTCTGGCCTCAGCCACTGCAGGCACGTGGCTGCATTTCCAGAATCAAAAGTGAATGTCTATTCACTTGTTTCTCAGTTCAAGCTTCGCAGTTTAGACTAACTTGCAAAGACTGAAGCAATTCAGCCCCTGGCTTGTTGACTGTCTGTACTTAGTCCAGCAGGTGAGTCCCTCTTCAAACTATTTAATTTTCAAAGTGAAAAACATGTTTTTCTTTTAAGACAGGGAAAACAGAATTTTCCCTGAGGCTCTTTGAGCAAGAGAAACAGAGGAGAAAATGTGTTAAAATAATAAAGATATGCTCAGAAAAGCAAGCTGTCAAAGCTGATGAATGAAGACATCCTTGCAAATGCTATAGGCAGTATTCCCAAAAAGTGCTTTGGACACCTCCAAAAAAGGTTTCATCTCTGAACCAAGAGTTCTAGAGTTTTGCATTTCTTTTTGTCTCAGACCAACACAGCTACCAAATACATCCCTTGGACACCTCCAACCTTTTCTGATTCTTCCAGTTCCTCTTCCTCAGCTGGGCATCTTCTGTTCAGGCTGCTGTGGCCTCTTCCCTGGCAGGTTGCTCGCCTAAGTATGAAAAGTTTATTTTTTTCCCTTGCCAGCTGTTATTTAAATTATTGTATTATTATTTGAATCACAGTAATGCCTTTGTGGCTCCACTGAACTGGAAGATAGTAGGAGGCAGTTTCTGCCTTAAAGAACACACAGTCTAAACACACGTATGTTGGGAAGGGAAAGTAATAGGGGACGAAGAACTGGGAATGAAATCCCGGCCTTCTGGCTTTCAGTCCTATACTCTATCCACTAGGTCACGATGCCTTTGTAGTTATGTTTAGAGATAGGCAGCCGTTGCTGCCGTGCGTGACAGACATACTTACTGGTGATCGTTATGTATTACAGGTCAGAACCTCAGCTCATCTGAAGTCAGTAGAGCTGCACTGATTATGCCAGCTGAGGGTTTAGCCCCATATTTTTAAAGACTTAGATTCTTGCAGCGTACAGGAGAAAGCTTAAGCCCTGACAACTGTTAGATCCAAATTAAGGAACTGGTTCTTCTTGTTACCATTTTTATTGTTTACAGTTTAAAAAAAAAACTTGGGAGATTTTAAAGACTGAAAAGGTGGGCACTGTTCACATACTAGATCAGTGGTTTTCACCCTTTTTTCATTTGCGGACCCCTAAAAATTTTTGAATGGAGGTGTAGACCCCTTTGGAAATTTCGAGTAGATTTGTAAGTGTGGGTATTCACATACTTTGATTGATCATAGTCATCTTTTGCAGACCCCTTAGACATAATCTGCAGACCCTAGGGGTCTGTGAACACTGCACTAGATTCTTAGGGAAGAGTCAGTGAGATGGCGACACAACAGGATAGGATTTATCTGGAAAATTATCTAGCAGTTGCTGAGTGATGGATTCTGATTATGGCAACACAATGCTTTTTCATGGTTTACTCATTCAGAATTGATTACACTGCTCTATTAATCCTTCATTTGCAAGAAAAAAAACACAAAGTAAAATGCAGTGGCTCATTACATTGGCTTCAGTTATGTTCCTGAAATACTCAAGGTGTCCATCAAACTTCCTGAAGCCTTGATAAAACTCCGCACTGTAATCTGTGTGATGCATCTACCAGAGGGCACTGACCTCAGTATCTAGGACATTCAACACAAACAACCCCAGGAGTGACACCCTAGGAAGTGTGTTTTATTTTTGTCTGAGCTGTGTGACCCTTGGTTTTCTTCTTCATTTCTCATTTCCAAAATTAGAATCTTCTGCTCTACCAAAAAAAATTTAAAAAATAAAATAAAATACCCCCCCCAAACCAAACAGTGGAAACCATTTGGATTCATCCAGTCCAAATAGGTTTCCAGACCCTATTTGGCCAGGGGCCTAAGGGCCTCACCTCATTTCTAGACATTTTGTAAATGCAGATTTGTGAGCTGTGTAGAATTTGCCCCCATCCTTTTTTGTGGCAGTTATACCATTGATGTGACTTCCAAGCCCTCCATTTCATAAGAGCGGCCTACAGGAGGTGGCTATGTGCAAACGGGTAATGTTGGAATACTGTTGTAGCCCTGACAGTCCAATAAATATGGAAGAGGCCAGGATTTTTTGTGGGTGATATCCTTTATTGGATCAGCTGTGTGGTTGGGATAGACTTAGACAAGCTTTCAAATGCAGCACATTCTTCTTCAGGTAGCTTGCTTATGTGCAGAAGTTAAAAGATCGTGTGCCCTTAGGTGACACGCAGAAACATGCAGTGATGTTTCCTGGTTTTTAGGCTCAGTCACTGTTGCCATTATGCATTGCAAGCAGCTTCCAACACACTGCTCTTTACAGAACGCTTTGAACGCAGCCTGGCTTAACTGCTGTAACTCCCACTACAGAGTACCAGATATACCTGCAGCTAAATTTAAGTGTGGCTGCACTATTGCTCATTGAAGTAGCCATTTAGAAACATAGTTAGCACTATCACTGTAATAATGAGTGAATGACAAGCTTATTTTACCAATTTGTGAGACCCTTAAATGACTCCTCATTAACGTGCTATTTTCTTGGGATTTACATCACTGAGAGAACAGACTTTGCACTTAACGTCAAACTACCAGTTACTATCAGCTTGTCTGAGAGCAAGTGAGCTATTCCAGAAGCTGACTGAAGTAGACTGAGCAATCTGCAGAGGACGCAGCCAGGCTTCAGCTGATATCAAGTCCCTGACCACAGTGGCAGCGTGCTAGGGACCTGTAAGCACAGTGACATGGAGCCTGAGGAACTAGCTGCTTTTTATTGTTTCATGTGCTTTAATTGAGTCTTACTGCAACTACAATTTTTTGAATGATTTTTGTGTACTAGCAGTGATATAATTCATGCATCAGCAACTCCTGTCTCCCATATGGAGGTGTGGTCCATGAAGACTACAGATTCCAGCGTACATCTGAAGAAATGATCACAATTAGCTGCAGCAGCAGCCAGGTTTTCTTTGCAGACCTCCAATTCAAGCAACGGCTAGATCCAACCCCGCTTACTGTCAGGCTGTGGCCTTGAATCTGGCACTTCAGCCTGCCAGGCACAGCCACTCATCCCAGTTTGCCACCTCCTCAGCTGAGCACTGGGGTGGACATAGGGGGTCAGAACCCATTATCAGGGCCTAGCCGCATGTCCACGCTCTGCAGCTGGAGTGGCCAGCCAGGGTCAGCTGTCCCCTTACCCCTTCCTATAAAAACCCCTGATTTGGAAGAGGAAATGTCAGGGCAGCAAGGCTTAACATTTTACTCAGGGGGGTTTTGTCCTTGGCTTGTGCTGATATTAGCTCTCTGGCTACCCAACCTGGCTTGCTCACAGGCCCTGAGTTTGTCTTGACTCTTTGGCTCCCTGATACCAGACTTGGCTGGCTTCCTGACCTGGACTCTGCCCAAGCCTCTATATCACTGACCCAGTTCCCCAGATGGATCTTCTGGATTTTGGTTTGCTGGCGCCCTTATGCTTCAACTCTGCATGCTCCCCTTGGATCTCAGTTGTTTCTTCTGACCCTGGGTGATTGCCCAGGCCTGGATGCCAGTAACCTGGCATGCCACTTAGTTTCTAACCTCAGCAAGGTTACAGGAACATATGGCCACAAATAGTTGGTAAAAGAAAAGTAAAAGTAACCAAGATAAGGATGACAAACAGTAATTCTACAGATTTCCTGAACTGGATACTTTCCTCACTTAACACATGTTATATATTAATTCAAGCCCATTAGCCTCAATGAAAGCACCCTGGGATTTGTGACACAGAGAGAACAGACCCAAGCCCTCTGTTGATACAGGCTCCATGTTCTCTCCTAAGTAATCTAATCTACTGCCAATGTCTTTGAATCTTACTTGATTGCCTGAGCTGTTGTGCCCAAAGGAGGCCCTGACTATGCAAAATGCTATAGCAGATGGATAAATTAATACAGAATATTTTGAAGTGTAATAATTCAGTTTCAGTACCCACTGCTTAGGATGTTGTTAAATCAGAGGAATATGAAATGCAACTACAGACTCATATCTGAGGAGAATTCAGGGACCTTTCAATTCAAAATATGAGGCTGTCTCATATAGTAAGATATGGTTGTTAGGTGTTTTTGCTTTTCACAGTCAGTAAATGACTCCTTCCCAGGCTGATAGAAACAAGTGCTGAGTAACTGAGAAAGTAGGAAGTTAGTGTAGCTGGGAGATGCATGTCTGTTGGGGCCAAGACTACCAAAAATAGGTCTCTAAGTGTTATGACTTTTTCTTATGATGACCATTTTAGGGCCAGATTCTGATCCTCATTACAACAGCCTAAATGAGCAGAAATGACATTGGTATTTCTGGAGTTAACCTGAATTTCTATTAGAGGATCAACCCAATTCATGGAAGCATCCCTCTGTAGGAAAGCCTATTTAAACACTTGTTTGACTTACTGAAGCATAGGAGGACATGCTTTCCTGAACCAGGGCCTTAGCTTGTATTTTGGGGTGGAGGTGACCTAGTCAATGCCACTAAAAAAATCTATTCAGCTGGTATAATCAACATAGCTGCACTAAATTCAATAGCAGCTATATTAATTTTATACCAGTGAAGGGGCTGGGTAAAGAGCAGTATGTCTTTGGTGCTTTGGAGTAGGCAGGAGACCATATTGTGTTTCAGAGTCCCAATATTTCTTCAGGAGAAAATACCATGCCCCAGATCTACACCTGGAACAGGTTATCCCATCCCTCCTCCTTGCTACTCAGCTGTTCTGACCAGAGCATTAGTGGGAGAAGCCCAGGTACTTTCACCCCCTGCACCGGAGAAGGAGCAGTACCTCTGTGGATATCCCACTGAGGGAAGGAGGCAGTATCTTATTTCCTGCTGTAACCTGCATGGGAACAAAGGGTATGTCATAATCGTGATGCATATGACCCATCCTAATGTAAGTGAGCAATTAAAATAGCCTTGTTTCATGGATATTTTCCAGAATGCTTTGAGTGCTCAGTTTGGCCTAGCCATGTTCTCACTTCAGATGCATTCTTGTTGCAATTATTAAAAAAAAAAAAAAATGTTACTAATTGTGCAGGCCATCTGCTGTGGAAAAAAATGCAAGGTATTGTCTTAAGTGTGCGTAATCCAATTTTTTTTGTGAATGCAGCCTTTAATCATGAGCTCAGCAAAGTGAGGCATCTGTTTCTGAATTTAAGTAGCTGAAACTAATCAGGCTAATTCAAGGTTTTCTGCAGTAGACTTAATTGATCAACCTAATTTCTTTGTAGAAACGGGATAATTGTTTATTTACATTTTTTTTTTTTTAACATACAGGAAGGAGACTCTTTTAATCACTGTTACACAGCAGTCTTAATTCAAAAGTTCATGTGCAAGATCTGTTTGCAAAATGTACCCAAGTTTTGATTTACCGCCTCAAAGCCTAATGCCTAATTGTAGGAAAATAGTGGTGATGTGAATGCTGTTAGTTAAGCGTCTTTGTACTAATTGCAGCATGTGAAGTTGTGTTAATTCAAAATATAGTTTAGCTTGAAATGGCCATTGATTCTTGCATTGTAAACAAAATCCAATTTGAGGCAGTTTGTCTAATCAAGAAGCTGATGATAAATCTTTTCTTGGATTTACCTGATTTGGGAACAGCACGGGATTCTAGAAAGAGGAACATCCTGTTATACAACAAGATTCATTTGCTCTCTCGCTACACAATGCCTTTCATCTTAGATGATTTTACATATATAACTTTAGTGAACATCACAAAATGTTATGAGGTAGCAAAGTATAGTTAGACCTAAACTGAGGCTCAGAGAAATCAAATGACTCTGTAGCAGTGTTGTAGCATGTGTTGGGTGTTTCAGATATTGTCCCTTGTAGCTGTGCATGATGGTTTCAAGTGGGGATTTTAGAGTAGATCGTTTCCTACAAATTTAGGGAACTGGATCCAGTGGTCTAGGAGGACGCCCCTTCCGGGCCCTGTTCCCAACTCAGTATAGAATCAAAAAGCATTGAACCCTGATCCTCTCTTCTGGCTACTAAAAAACATTCCACTGTCTAAAAGCCTAAACTACCCACTTGGTGCTGCAGTCACAAAACATCCCCAAATCTATTGTCAATACTATATACACGTTTGATTCAGGCCCAAGCTGTAAGGTGTCTGAGATCAGCAAGCCCAGCCTGCCACTGTCAGACTGACCAAGTGGTAGATGCTAATGAATGTGCCTCAGGTAGAAATGAATTGATTTTGCAATTTGAGCAGTGCTGTTTTTCTCAGTGAAAGCAAAGATCTGGCTAAATTGTGGTTGCTTGTTTTATACATGTGCACACAATTGAGGAAACAGCAGAAATGCTTTGTTGTGACCTCATGAAAATGCACTCATTGTCTTCAACAGCAGCAAATAAATGATGTTCCTTATTTGCAGTTCTAAAGAAATTCCAAATTTTCACCTAGGCTGCAATCAGGAGGTTGTAGCTCTGCTTATCACTACTCATTAAAGCAAAGTCATACTCTTAAATTCATATGTGCAAGTAGTTTGACCCATGTTACACGTCGGCCTAATTCTTTCCCTTAATTTGCATTGCTCTGTTATAATCATAGATTAGGGTTGGAGGGGACCTCAAGAGGTCATCTAGTCTAACCTCCAGCTCAAAACGGAAGCCTCACCAACTCCATCATCCCAGCCAAGGCTTTGTCTAGATCGGTCTTAAAAACCTCCAAGGATGGAGATGGCACAACTTCTTTGAGAAACGTGTTCCACTGTTTTACTATCCTTCTAGTGGAAGTTTTTCCCCTAATATCTAACCTAATCTTCCCTTGCTGCAATAATGAGAACACTGCTTAATTTTCTCTTATGCTGTTTCTAATTGAACCCAAGTCCGTTGCCCTTTCTTTCTTGTTTGGAGCTTATTTCAGCAGAATTACAGCTTCTTAACTCATTCTTATGGTGAGGAGACAGGGGCTGGGGAGTGTGTATGGGCTGTTAGGCTTGGTCAGAGTAGAGGCTGCAACATTAACCATTCTGTAGGAAGATCTCTGAGACTTGAGAGCTTTATCAAAGGAACTGATATTGAGAGCTGGATGGACCCAAAGCAAAACTTCATCCCCTTTTTTTTTTTTGTTTGTTTAAATAAGTCCTGGAGCAGGCTTGGAGGTCATCTAGATGCTGAGAGGGTATTTGCTCTGGTTCCATTCTGCTTCGTGTTATTGGAAGTTTATAATAATGTTATACATGTGGCTGCCATCAAGTGGGTGCTTGATCTGTAGTCAATTACCAACCTAGTTAAAGGTGCTGGATGTGTAAAGCATTGTTAGTCAGCCGAGTTCATTCATATCATCTGATGAAGTAGGTTGTTGCCTATGAAAGCTCATGCACCTCTGAACCAGTTAGTCTCCAAGGTGCCAACCTGCCCTATGTTCTGCCTGATTTTAATTCAGCAATAGCTAAAACAACAGGGGGTTCTTGAACAAGGAACTGGCCTATGACATATCAGTCAAGGTTTATGTGGCTACACCGAATTACAAGAGCTAGGGGACTGGTTTGTTGCAGCTGTGTGTATGGTGGAGGGGAGAGTAGGAGGAGAAAGGCAGCAGAAAACAAGAAAAGCAGTTTCATAGTTGGTAGGGTCAGAAGGGACCTGAGCAGATCATCAAGTCCGACTCCCTGCCATGGGCAGAAAAGAGTACCGGGGTCAAATGACCCCGACAAGGTATCTATCTAGCCTCCTTTTGAAGACCCCCCAGGGTAGAAGCGAGCACCACTTCCCTTGAAAGTTGGTTCCAGATCCTAGCCGCCCTGACTGTGAAGTAGTGCCTCCTGATATCTAGCTTGAATCTACTCTCTGTCAACTTATGGCCATTATTCCTTGTTACTCCCAGTAGTGCTCGGGGGAACAGGGACTCTCCCATAGCCTGCTGGTCCCTCTTGGCCAGTTTAGAGACGGCCACCAGATCCCCTCTCAGTCTTCTCTTGTGGATGCTGAACAGGTTCAGGTCCCTTAGCCTCTCCTCGTAGGGCCTGCCCTGCTGCCCCCTGATCATGTGAGTGGCCCTCCTCTGGATCCTCTCGATGCTGTCCACATCCCTCCTGAAGTGCAGTGCCCAGAACTGGATGCAGTACTCCAACTGCGGCCTGACCAATGTCGCATAGAGGGGGAGGGTCACCTCCTTAGACCTGCTCATGATGCATCTGTGGATGCATGATAAGGTGTGATTAGATTTCTTGACTGCATTCCCACATTGGTGGCCCATGTTCATCTTGGAGTCTATAATGACTCCAAGATCCTTTTCTGCCTCTGTGCTGATGAGAGGGGAGTTCCCCAGCCTGTAGGTATGCTGCTGGTTCTTCCTCCCCAGGTGCAGCACCTTGCACTTGTCAGTGTTGAATCTCATCTTATTCTCATCCGCCCACCTCTGTAACCCGTTCAGATTCAATTGCAGCCTGTCTGTAGCGTGCCCACTTCTCCCCACATCTCAGTGTCATCTGCAAATTTGAACAAGGTGCTTTTCACCCCCTCGTCCAAGTCGCTGATGAAGATGTTGAACAGTGCAGGCCCCAGGACCAAGCCCTGGGGGATCCCACTGCCCACAACCCTCCAGGTCGAAAATGACCCGTCCACCACCACTCTCTGGGTGCGGCCCTCCAGCCAGTTAGTGACCCATCTGACTGTGTAAGCATCAACACCACAATCTCCTAATTTTTTTAACGAGAATGGGGTGAGAGACCACGTCAAAGGCCTTCCTAAAGTCCAGAAAGACTACATCCACCGCGACACCTGCGTCCAATGATTTTGTGACCTGGTCATAAAAGGCAACCAGGTTGGTTTGACAGGACCTACCTCTAATGAACCCATGTTGGTTGCCCCTAAGCATAATCTCCCCTTCTGGCCCCTTGCAGATGTGCACCTGGATAATTTTCTCAAAGAGCTTCCCCAGGACTGAGCTAAGACTAACAGGCCTATAATTTCCTGGGTCCTCCTTCCTCTCTTTTTTGAAAATGGGGACCACATTGGCCCTTTTCCAGTCCTCTGACACCTCACCAGAGCACCATGAGTGCTCGTAAAGCCGTGCCAGGGGTCCCGCAATGATCTCTGATAATTCCCTTAGCACTCTGGGGTGGAGATCGTCAGGACTGGCTGATTTAAATATGTCCAGTCCCTCCAGAAGTTCCCTGACTAGGTCCTCTCTGACCCTAGGCCTGGGTGCACGTCCCCTGGGACCATCGGGGATCCTGGTGGGGGGGATGACCTGGTCCCTGCTCAGAAAAATGCAGGCAAAGAAATTGTTAAATAGGTTAGCTTTGTTGTCTGGTGAGACCACCAGATTTCCTAGCATGTCCTGCAGAGGCCCCACGTTACCCAGTACCTTCTTTTTACCCCCTATGTATTTAAAAGAGAATTTCTTGTTGTCCTTGATCTGGGTCGCTAGTCCCAGTTCCATCTCTGCCTTGGCCTTCCTAACAGCCCCCCTGCAATCCCGAGCAACTGAGGTATAGTCCTTCCTGGTGAAGGCCCCTCCCTTCCATTGCATGTATGCCTCCTTAGCTTTGAGATGTTCCTGGATGCTTTTGATGAGCCATGGGGGCTTTTGAGCACTATTGCCCCCTTTGATCTGTGCTGGGATTGCCACCCTTTGGGCTTGGAGGATCATCTCTTTCAGGAACAATCACTCTTCTTGAACTCCCAACTCCCCACCCCTCTGGGACCTCAGTGCCTCCCTGACTAGTCTCCTTAGGTCAATGAAATCTGCCCTCCTGAAGTCCAGGGCTGCTGTCTTACTGCAGGCCTTTGCCACCCTGTGCTGGATGGTGAATTTGAGCAGGCGATGATCGCTATTGCCCAGGTGATCGAGCACCCGCAGTCCCCTCACCAGGTTGTCGCTTGTGGCCAGGTCTAACAAGGCATCTCCCCTGGTGGGGCTGTGCACCTCCTAGGTTAGATGAAGGTCCTGTAACACGGCTAGGAACCTATGTGAGTAGTCAGACCTGGCTGACAGCTCTTCCCAGCAGATGTCCGGATAGTTTAGGTCACCCATGATGACCACATCCTTTGACTTGACTGCCTCCACGAGCTGATCTGAGAATTCCTGGTCTAGCTCTTCTCCCTGGTTGGGTGGTCTGTAGTAGACCCCCACCATTAAATCTTTTCCCCCTGACCCCCTTGTATGCTGACCCAGAGCACTTCAGTCTGCCCCTCCTCTGACCCAGTGCTGCTTGTTGAGGATGGGAATTGTTCTTTGGCATAGAGCGCCACACCCCCACCTTTCCTCCCTGTCCTATACCTCCTGCACAGCCTATAGCCCTTGTTGTTCACCGCCCAGTTGTGCGTTGGATCCCACCACATTTTGGTGAGCACCACTACGTCTGGGTTTGTGTTAGCTAGCAGGAGGGCAAATTCCTCCTGCTTGTTTTCCATACTATGGGCATTAGCGTAGAGGCATTTAAGGCCTCCTGAAGGTGTATGCACCGCCCCCCCCCCCCCCCCCCCCCCAATCGCAGGACTATCCGGGTCTCTTGCCTGGGTATTTCTTGTGCTTGTCAGTCTTGGCTGGGCTATTCTTGTGGGTGACACTTGGGTTGGTGTTCTGAGGCTCCCTCCGACCTCATCCTCCCCTTTCCCCAATGAGCCTAGTTTAAAGTCTGCCAGAGGAGATCAGCCAACCTGAAAGTGATGTGTGTGACCCTGAGAGGGAAGATGAGGCAGATCTTTTTGGGGGGTTACTACAGGATGAAAAGGTGAATGTGGATCTCTGTACAAGGAAACTACTCACTGCTGTTTGTTCCTGTTATGCCCATGAAAATGGGGCCTAGAAGAGTCTTTGTGAATAGATAGGATGGCACCAAAGAAATACTTGACTTCAACACTTTCTCCTTCAAATGGGAGCAATTTGTGAGGGTCTGAATCTTTTCAGAGCAGTCTGAGCCAAGAAGAGGTAATATAATAATAAGAAGGTGCCTTATGGGCAGTGTTCCCTCTAAGCTGTGCGGCACATGCTGCTTATGGGGTGTCTGTGTGATGCAGGGTGGTGTACACATGCACATGGCTGCCAGGCACCCTGGAGGTAAGTCTGGCGGGGGGGGGGGGGGGGAGGGCAGGAATTGAGGTCTCCTTAGTGAGGGAGGGAGTTGGACGGGGCTGGGGGTGCTGTTGAGCCCAGACAGTGTATGGGGGCTTGAGGCCTGGGGCTGGAATGTGCAGGGTTTGGGATGGAGCCATGGGTGACTTGTCCTGGGGGAATGGGGCGCTGGCTCCCTGCTGCTGCAAGCACTCCTGGGGAGGCATGGGGGACACGTGCTGCACTTGGGCAGTAGTAACCAGCAGCACACTTATAAGATGGGAAACTCCATTCTTGAGAGCACGGAGGCAGAAAGGGATCTTGGAGTCATCATTGACTCCAAGATGAACGTGGGCTGACAGTGAGAGGTCACGGTCGGCAGGGCTAACCGGACCCTATCGTGCATCCACAGGTGCATCTCAAGTAGGGCCAAGGAGGTGATCCTCCCCCTCTACACGACACTGGTCAGGCCACAGCTGGAGTACTGTGTCCAGTTCTGGGCACCCCACTTCAAGAGGGATGTGGACAACATTGAGAGGGTCCAGAGGAGGGCCACCCGCATGATCCGGGGACAGCAGGGCAGACCCTACAATGAGAG